TTGCCGGCGGGAACCTCAAAAGTGACTCCCTTCAGGATTTCCTTCCCGGAATTGTAACCGAACGTGACGTTGTCGAACTTTATGGTGGAAGTTTCCGGAGAGATGTTGAGGGAGGGAGCGTTGGGGACTTCCTGGCTGGGTGGGTGAATGAGTGAATGGGCGAGTGAGTGAATGAGCGAGTGAGTGAATGAGAAGGTGAGAAAGTTAATGATCAATCAATTAGTCAGTTAATTATTTATTCATTTGCTTATATATATTTTTTGCACTTCTTTGACAAAATACTTGAAATCTCACAAATAAATCCATACTTAATAAATTCCCCAAGCACTCCAATCCCAAGCCGAAGAATCCAGTTCCCAAAGCCCCAACAAAAATCCCACCACCAATCTATTCATTTCAGAATTCAGACCAAAAGACCACAATATCGTATGGCTAAACAAGAACCACAAATAAAGTAAAAAAACCATTCCAAAAGTTACTAAAACCGTCTCACACCAAAACCCCAACAAAGATCCCACCACCACCACCACCACCACCTCACCTTAATATCGGGCTTCAGTAGGAGCAAATTGAACATGGACTCCATGTCGATCATGGCCTGTTTGGTTTCGCGGTAGACGGACCCAAGAAAGTTTAGGGGTATGGAGAGCTGGAAAAGGAGGCCGTTCACCATCACCAAGTCGCCGACCGTCATCGTTCCTGGTGGTAAGGTGGAAAGGGGTTGGGTGGGGAAAGTGAATCAGAGGAGAGAGAGAGAGAGAGAAAGAGAGAAGGTGGTGAAAAAGATGAGAGGGTTTTGAATTTTAGGAGTTTTGGTATTCTGGGAGTTGTCCAATTCAGCGTTTCTCAACCATTTTGAGATTCAAGGACCACTACTGAAAATTTCGCTACTAGCGCACTCGAAATTTATTTATATATAATTATTATTTCATATAATGAAGTAACAGCTAGACATAGTTAGTACAACATAGTTCTTAGTATAACTATTAGACTTAGAGAACTTACACCTCCACACTTGACTATAGAGGTGTATTAAAAATGTTATTTAAAATCATTTTTTATAAATTTTTACTAAATGTTTTAACTTCAAATTAAGAAGTATAATGTTGGTTGATGTTGGCATACAGCGTATCTCACGGCGTATCTGGGGTACCATTAATTTGTATGTCACACACATGAAACAAATTGTATGTGAATGAATGAATGAATGAATGAATGAATGAATGAGCAGGCGTATGAATGAATGTGATAATTACATCTTCACTTGCTACTTAATGTCACTTGCTAACAATAATGAATAATAATAAACACGTGCCTTATAATATAATATACATAAGTATATACATACATACATACATACATACATACATACATACATACATACATACATACATACATACATACATACATACATACATACATACATACATACATACATACATACATACATACATACATACATACATACATACATACATACATACATACATACATACATACATACATACATACATACATACATACATACATACATACATACATACATACATACATACATACATACATACATACATACATACATACATACATACATACATACATAC